CCCCGGGCTCTCTCCCTGCCCGCACCCCGGGCTCTCTCCCCCTGCTCTCCCTGCCCGCACCCCGGGCTCTCTCCCCCTGCTCTCCCTCCCGCACCCCGGGCGCTCCGCAGCCCCAGGACGGCTCCGCCCCGGCTCCGCTCCGCCGGGCACGGTCCCCATCCCCGCCGAGCCGCCACTTGTTCCCCGCAGTTTTCCCCGTAGCCGGCGGACACCGCTGGTTTGCGGAGAGTTTTCAGGGAGCGCTGCCCGGGAGCGGTCCAGAGGCCACTGGCCATCATCGTATGGGGAAAGCCCCGCATCAACAACTGCTCTGTAATAGGTGCAATGGCATTGCATTTTACAAAGTATTCAGAATATTAAAGTCTTCTTTAGGGCGCCTGTTTTTAACATCTTTATGTTTTCAACTGTTTCTCAAGCAGTTTATAAAAGTCGGTTACATTAATGGAAATCTACACCAGAAAAAAAAAATTAAAAGCCTTTTAAATTTTTCCATTTTTTGTTACTGTGTAACGCCAAAAACCGGGAAGCCATGCTAAAGGTGAGTGTAAGCTGCTTATCAGAGGAAATGTTTATCCGTCAAACTGCTGGTCTAGATGCCTTATAAATTGTTAAGATGCTTAAAATGCAGAGACTCCTGAGCTGGGTTTCCAGCTCAGTGTGCACCTTCACACTGCACAGCTCACACGGTTCTGTGCTCTTGGTTAAGCAGAGAGAAAGATGGATGAGCATGGGTCCTAAGAAGTGGTGACTGCCCTCAAATCCACTTTAGGGTTCTTGATATGTTTTGGGATGTTGTCAGAGCCATGTAGTCTGGAACCCTAAATCTCTTTAGCTTTGTGAAGTACATCTTAATGAAAAAAATGTATTAAAACAAAGTGTACAGTCTGGCACACAGCCCAGCTATGAAAAGTAATATGCTACCTGTGGGTATTAACAAATTAATGTTTTCAAATTAACCTTTACTATTAATTACTGATATTTCAGAAGAACCAAAATGAGATCTTGCTTATTTGGCATGTTTCTTCATTGCAGTAGCACTTTGACATATCCGTCATTTAGTTAACATTTTTATTTACTGGAACTTTCCTTTCCAAGACCCAGTAATTGTAATACTTCTTGATGAGTAGGAAATCCACTGTCAGTTACTGAATGTTTGCACTTGAAAATTAAAAATAGCCAAAATAAGTTCTGTGAAAGGAAAATGCTATTAGAAACATTAAGTATATGTGGGACTTTTAGTTCACATGGGAGCAATCTGCAAAAAAGATAATATATACAAAAACCAATATTCATTTGGTATTTTCAGTTTAATGCTGAACTTTCAATTATAAATTCTAGAAATTCTAATTTATGTTAAATATGCATCTTTGAAAGGAAAAACGTTCTACACCGGAAATATATAGTTTCAATACTCAACATAGAGACAAAACATGGAAAAGGAAGTAAGGTTCTGATGTAGACGGTGAAATGAGACATTTGGAGAAGAGACAGATTTCTGTGAGTTTCCATAACAGCTCCTGATATTACTCTTACGGCTTTTGCCATATTTTTGTGCTGTATTTTTAGAAGTGCAAGTGGTTTTTTCACCAGGAGACTGAAGAATCACTGGTTTCTCAGTCCTAACTCTGAGTCTGAGGTTCTGGGCCCAGAATCACAGCTTAATTAATTGTTATAATTTAAAAAACCAATACTGTGTCATTCATCAGAGGTATTGTTACCAGATTATGTTATTAAATGTCTCCAAAAAATCATGAGAGAAAAGACAGAAACTTGGAGTGACACCACCTTCTTCCTTCTTGGTAACTACAAGTGTGAGGATGAGTGAAGTACTGCATGTTCCCATTTTATTTATTTGTGATTTCATTTGAGCTAACCAAACTGTCCCATCAGCTCCACTGATATTTCCATTTGTCATCTGCAGTAATTTCCCCATGCAGTCTCTTATGAACTCCATGTGTTTCTCTGTGAGGTTCTGACTGCCTCTCTGAATTCAGCTGACCCCACTACAACTTCCCAGATCTCGTTTCTCTCCCCAGTCCTGCTGCATTCCTGTGTCTTCCTGTGCCCATACATAAACTTTTCTGAAAACAAAAGAACTGGGGACAGGACTTTGAACCAGTAAAGGCATTAGTGCTTTAAAGAAGTGGAGTTTTCTTCCTGTGTAACATTTGCTTGAATCAAATAATCATGCTCTGGGACCTTCAGGAGATAAAATATACATGGGGAAAAGGGAAGAAAAGCAGAATTTATCATGTGAAAGAGAATGAAGTTTGATCAATTTCCATCTTCTGTGATTTGCATTCAACTTCCAGTTCCCTAACCTAGTACGAAAGGAGGCAAAAGCAAATGTGTCTATTCTCTCTTTTCAGTTTCAGTTTCAGAGTTTTTTCTGGGGAAAAAGTTCCAATGGCAAAATATTGGGAAATGCACTAGAAAGCTAAAAGAATAGTACAGGAAGAAGACAGTAGATTATTTCAATATTTTGTTCTGAAAAGTCAGTGTGTGAGAAGGTGAAATAAGCATTGAGTGTGAAAAATGCCTACCACGTGCTTGGGTGAAACCTGTGCCAGTTAAAAGTCGTGGCTTTCATTATTGGTAGTTGCATTCTTCATAAAGCATTTTAATTCTAGTTTCAAGACATAACCTGTTTGTTAATTTGACACAGGTCAGTGGTGTCCATCCAGAATGCAGATTTCAGCTGGAGATTCACAAGGAGGAAACAAGGTGCATGGAACTTCTGAAGAATGCAAAGCCAGTGGACTACAAAGGTAAGAAAATTAAAGCTGTAGCGTAGAGATAACTGGAGTACTGAGGATTTTCTCCCTTTACCCTCTTCACTGCTGTGATTGCAGCTTCCTTAGAGCTGTGCTTGGGATTTTATGGGGTTTAGAATCGATGGGGCTTTGCATTAAAGGTACAGCTGCAGCAAACATGTGGTGAGAGGTGTGCAGGTGCAGAGAATGCTCTGGGATACCAAGGGATCAAACACATTCCACATACTGAAGTGTTGCTATTTCCTGATGGCAGAAGAGCCACAGGCTGGTGATGACAGGACCAGCAGAAAGAATAAATCTCAGGGAGAGCTGAAAGCCTTGGATCCAAGCATCTCTCTCTAGCTGTGGTTGAAAGTACTCGTGGCTGGAAGGATCTCTGGGTTTCCCAGCTGGACAGAAATATGGATTCAGACTCAGAGGACCACGGGGTGGTGCAAAGGGAAAACTGGAAAGTCGTGTTACACCTCAGCTCTCTCTGTTACTTCATTCTTTGCACTGTATTTAATTTCATTTTCTTTATGCATAGAAAGATGAATATATAGGTTGTGATACAGCAATCTATAGTTCAATGGAAGGAAGAAGGATAGTATATGTTTTATTAGGTTTTAGGGTTTTGGGGGTTGTTTGGTTTGGGGTTTTTGTGGGGTGTTTTGGTGTTTTTATTGTATTTTATTAGATTTCCATGCTGCATTTTCGTGTGAGTAGAACAGAAGGTTATAGAAAAATTACATTTTTCTTGTAAGTTGAAACTGCTGGTAAAGGCATTTGTTCAGCAAGGGCAATACAAAGGCAACAGATTAATTCAGCTTGGCAATGTGTAGTTTGTTTGGGCTTTTTGTGTCCAATCAGTTTTGAATGCACTCTGAAGATGATTATGAGACCTCAGAGACCTGCCATCTGCAGTGTCCTTTGAGCATTAACATGACTCTCAAGTCACGATGCTTTTTCCACCTCTTCTCAACTTAAATATGTAACTCTCTTGGTGCATATTCTAATACTAATTTGTATAAAAAATAATTCAAAATATCATCAACATTTTGTATTTTATTATAATTTATTTTTTATTAATCCAGACCAGTAATTTTAAAAAAATGCAAACTCTTACTGGAATAATTAATCTAGATTTATGGGTTTTATTTATATATAAAGTGCTGAAGAGAGGTGGCTGCTACATAAATAATACTAGTGCAGAGTGAGATGGAGAAATAATTAGTTACCCAGCTTAATGAATTAAATCATGAACCAACAAATTCACTGTTAGCTGTTATATGGCTTAGAAAGTCAAGCTTTCCCCAAGATACCCTTTTGTGATGCAGATGCTGGACTGCTCCAAGGGTATCTTTGTGATGCACACCAGTTTTATTTTGGGTTCCCTAGGGGAAGAAAGAAGTTTGCTGTTGGTATTTTCTTCCCAGTCTCCTTTCACTGGGAGAGGGATGCCTCCTGAAGGTGAACTGCTGTGAAAGAGAACTCATGTCTTGGGAGGACACAGCGTGTCTGATGGTGTTGATTCAACCCTGCAGACAGTGACCAAACAGCAGTGGAAGGATTTATAAATTTTATTGAATGCCTGTCAGAAACTAAAGGAATATTGCGTTTTTTTTGAGATTGGAATAAAGCCCCTGTGGTGATGAACCTTTAAAACTGCATTTTAATGTTACAGGAGAATTTGGTCTGTGCTTCATGTTATCGATACCTTTACCAAGAACCTTCAGGGAGTAGCCTATATTAAATATATGCAGTTGCATTTACAAAAATAGACATTCTCTGTTTGTCCTTATTTCTCTAATAAACCCTTTGTAATCATACAAAGGAGTAAGGACTGTTTTGAACAGTAATTCTCTTGACTGCTGATAAAGAAGAATTACTGATGAAAATTGGCAAGTCATAGCACCACACGTAACTTGTAGTACATTTGAAACACAATTATTTACTATACATTCACAAATGCTATTCCACCTTTTCCTGAATGGGAAAGATTACACAGCCCTTGTCATGCTTTCCTGGCTTTAATATGTGCTACCTGACTTACAAAAGCTGTTACTGGAATCTTGTGAAGGTACTGTCTTGAATTTCAGAAATAAAGGTTCCCAGAGATTTTACTGAAGGCTTGGACCTCCATTATCAAAATCAGTGGGAATATTTTCTTTAATTTATTGAGCACTTAGGAAGCCTTCACGCCTCTGTGTCACATTCTCCAGAATTTGGCTGGCATGCACAGCTACTGAATTTTAGAGGATCCAAATTGTATGGGACAGGTAATTTCTCCTTTTACCTAGAAGCCAAATAAATATTAAATACTTTATCTAATCTTTTCAGCTCCAAGCTGGGAGAAATAAAGGAAGTATTTAAAAGCAATTGAGGTTGGGTTTTTTTTTGACACAACGAAGTGATTTTATCATCTTCTTACCTGAGGTGCCTCAAGACACAGGATGGAGAATTTAGCTCAGTAATTTTTGTAGCGCACCTAAAATCTCTGACTATGAAGGACTCGCTTACTTCATGGCTTGATAAAGCAGTAGCGTGTTTTGCAAAGGAACTCTGTGTAAACACTATGTAAGTATCCTCTGAACAGTGCTAAGGATACACTAAAACCACTGGACCCTGTTGGTCTAAATTCTGCTCATTTGCCAGTGTCAAACTGGGAGACACCCGAACCTCTTGCTTTGCACCCTTTGGGGGATTTTCAGGCATTAGCACACACTTTCCCATTAGTGGACAGCATTACACTCCATTTAGGGAAGAAGTCACTCTCCAAAGACCTGTGGCAGTGCTTTCCTCTCTGGAGTGCTCTTTAGAACATTTGGTTGTTTATTTTATGAAGACTGCATTAGCTTCTATGTACATTTGGTTCTTCTTTCCTCCCATAATTTGGCCCCTGAGGTATGGATGCACCCTAGCTCAGAGCCTAGGAGAGGTTGTTTTTTCTTGGTGCACATTTTATTTTTGAAGGGCAGATGAATTGCATTCTAACTGGCTCATAATAGCTACAGATTTTGAGGTTTGTATGGAAAAAATTATTTGTTTTATACTTGCCTCCCATGGCTTGTCCTCTTACAAACAAATAGAAAGTTTCTAAGAAAACTGATTGAAAACACATAAAAATTGTCCTGCTGCAAATTTGTGCCTTTATTCAGCATTGAGAATTTTTCTTTATAAAGTAAATGGCTCATTTCTCTTCACCKYTAAGTRAAAAATGAAATCTTATGGTCAAAAGTGTTAAAACTCAGGGGAGTTTTTAACTGGGTTCTGCAACTAAAAGTTCTAAAGAAGATTTCATTATAAAAAAATGAAGTTTAGGGAGTTTTGATTCATCTTGGACTGAGTGGCTGCACAGTTAAATGTGTCTTTTCGGATCTTGCTTTCCAAAATGTGTTTTTGTGAGACCCATATGTCAGTCAACATTTTTAATTTTAGATATGTCATCTTAACTTTGAGGAAGGAATGTAGATGAAAAGAAAAATGGCTTTGGCAAGAATTTCATAAAGCTTTCAGAGAGAAGCTTCATAAAGCAGCTAGTAATGGGAAATTAAAAGAGACAAGGCTACCAAAATGGTTCTCTTAGTTATTCAGAAGTTTAAAGCAACAGGGATCGATATTGGTTTATAATGCAATCTCCTGAATTGCACTGTCAATAGAATTTCCCTCAGTGATTCCAGCAGTGACCTCATGATCTTAGGGATGAAACAGAGCTGTTCAGAACAAAGGGATGAATATTCAAATGTTGGACCCACGGAAAGTTGTCCAGGAGTTAATTTATCTGATCAACTTAGTGTTAAGGTTTGTCCAGTACGAAAGGTGCATATTTGCATTTTCACCCCTCACACCTCTGTGCATAACACACAAGAGCTCCGTGTGTAACCAGGAAAAACCTGGAGATCACTCCATCCTCCACACTGGTAAAGAGAAGATTCCACAAAGCCAGATGAGACCTTTATTACATGAAAAGAATCTCTTCAAAGTTCCCCCTTTCTTAGGGGTCCCTGTCTCATCAAGGTCTCACATCAGGTTTTGTTGAGTTTTGAAGCTATTTTCTCTGCAGAAGGAGTCAGTAGTTCAGACTGTAGTGTTGCTTACACATCTGAGGTAGCATTCAAAGTAGGATTAAATGAGGTGGTGGGATCCTGGAACACCTTTTATGCAGCACCAATAGCTCTTGCAAGAACAATTTCAGCTTTCTTCAACCTCTGCTTTGCTTTTCTAGCTGTAGTACAGAAATGTTGCTACTTTTTAGTTCACAATTTTTTTATGAAGGAAGTCAAAGGGGCTGCTTTGGATATTTGTCTGTTTTGGCTTTCACTAATTGAAGAGCCATCATTAATGACAACACGTAAAACATATCCATCCTTATGATATTGAAAATGTCTGGGCTTTGTGGAAGGTGTATTTAAATATTTGAGGGCAGAAGAGAGGCAGGGTTAGTTTGTTTTTAGAGGAGTCTGGGTGAGAAAGGTGAGAAAGAGCTTTGAATGAAAGGAGTAGCCTACTGAAAAATAACTTACAGAAAAAAAAATGGTGAAGACAGAGAAAATGTCCTGATTAGCCTCATCAAAAAATCTCCCATAATAAAGTTTACTAAGAGTATCAATAACAAACCCTTTTGGAAAGAAGAGAAGTAACATGTCCACAATGATTTTGAAGACCTTAAATTTCTGCTCTACCCAAAATGTAAATAGAAATTTTTAGTAGTTAGTGCAACAAATAGRACRTGGGTTAAACATAATACAAATTAGCAGAAATATATGGTGCCATCATTCTATGGAGAATTTTAGGATTTTCTGGTTGGGTTTATACAAACAGGAGATTGATTTTTAATGGCAATTTTTAAGAATGTACAGCATGTCAGAATTGGGACAACATAAAGGTGAAGGTACCTTTTACAGCTTTGGTTATACATACATGAATATATTTGCATAAAAATAGAAAATAATATTGTTATGGTAATATTAGCATGCTGTCCAGTCATACAAAAATAGATGCTCTTGTCTCCAAAG